AGGAACATAGGTGAAGCGAAACAGTCTCTTCTTCATGTACAATTTATTTTGATTGTTTTTCTTCAAAAATTTATCCTCCAGTGCTTTCCATAATTTACTTGCAGAAGTTTCCTTTGTGTATGGATATTTCTGCTCTCTAGCAAGGTAGGATCGAATGGTACCGCAAGCAACACGATTGATAATTCTCCAATCTTCTTCTCCAATAACATTTGTTTTTTTTTCTTCAATGGCAAGATCTAACCCTTGTTGAAAAAGGACATCTAGAACCTCGCCTTGCCACATCCCAAAATATCCTGATCCGTCAAAAATTTCTACCGCAAATTTCGCATTTGACACAATTCTTGTCATAAACGAATATGCCAATGATGACGTATTGTTGACACTTGATGTAGATTCTTCTTGTTTATTGTCTTCCATCTTTGACACAAATATTATTTAATAGCTGACGACAAAAATCAAGATTATTTCCTTTCTGGTGTGGAAGATCAGACTAAGCTGCAACTACGGAGCATACTCAGACAGAACCTTGACTCAGTTACCAAGATAAATCTTTTCTGATGTGGAAGATCAGACTAAGCTGCAACTACGGAGCATACTCAGACAGAACCTTGACTCAGTTACCAAGATAAATCTTTTCTGATGTGGAAGATCAGACTATGCTGCAACCACATAGCATACTTAGATAGTACATTGGCTTNGCCACCAAATAATAAATAAGACAATAAAACAATAATAAAAGAAACACCAGAATTTACGAGGTTCAGCCAATTTTGCCTATTCCTCGGACACAACCAATATTTTATTCCACTCCAAAAATACAAGTGAAATAATACTAAAAAGAGAAGATACAAATGCCTTAAGAAAATAAAAAGGCAAATAAGAGGTGTGTTTAAATCCTAAACTTCGGTTCTATATTAAGATTTAGTTTCAGGTTCTTAATTTATATTGTTAGTTTATATTATTGATTTAGTGGTTAAATTAAAAAGAGTTTGAAAGCATAGGCCATAGACTAGAGTAACGGTCTGCATTACAGTTTTGTAGAAGTGGCATAATTAACAAAGAAAGTTTAGTAATATGTAATAGGACATCCTCTTGAACCAGGAATTGTACTTGTAACAACAAGTCAATAAATAAATTATTTTAAGACGGAGAATACGACCCCAAAAGGATAGAGCGAAAATGGTGAAAGGCTTAGATTCTAGATGATCGGAAACAAAATGAAGGAACTGCCAGGAAACTCTTTTTTTGCTACAAAAAAGAAAAAGAAAAAAAGAACTGTTAGACTCTAAAAAATCAGAACATTCAATGGACGGTACATTTTCCATGAACAAGGGAGGAAGGATCAACTGATATTTGATAGAACATACAAATAAATGGTTGTTGAGCACTCAACTGTATAAGTAGCATTTTTCACTGTACAAAGATACTCTTGTATAAAATGTTCCTCCTATTTTGAACTGACATTCATTCTTTCGGACATAATAACAAATTAAATCATTACATTTTTTTTTTCCATAAATTCCAACAATTCAAACTCATCAAATAGTTCATGTTAAAGCATGAACTCAAGTTAATTATTCATACAAATCACCTTCACACAAATTCCAAAATGAACTAAAATTATTCATTCAACAGCTAAATGGGACAGAGCGAGTTGTTCTTGACATAGCTTATGCTTATGATGAGGAACGTTTGCGCTTCTTGGTAATACGAACCGTTTTAAGTTTAACAAACCTCTTCATGAGTAAGAACCATTTAGTTATGCTAAATATCTTGGCCCAACTCTTGTTGGACTTGCCTTTGCGCATAGAGGCATAAGGAAAATCATCAAGTTGAATTTCATCAGAACTAAGAAACTCGAAAATTTTCTCCCAATTATATTCTCCTGAATCCAAATTCACAGATGTGATCTGGTTGAAGGATCCCAGATGTAGGATATCCGTATCATTTTGCAGCTGATCCCAACTACTAAAACCGGTTGTAGAATGGCCAGAAGAAGTGAAAGCAAGTGACATCCCGTCTGACTCTGTATGTTGGTTAGGAATTACATAACAAGTAGAGCATTCAGCACTGACTACCCACTGGTTACTTTCAGCAGGCAAATGTGACTTCTGTGCACATTAAATTAAAGAAAATTGTCAAAGAAAAGTAGCTGAAAAAGTTGTTTGCAAAATTAAAAGAGATTTTCAAAGCTTAAATCAGCTCACGAAATATATCCTTCTTTTTCATCACATTGCAATGGACATTTACACTGCAGGGTAATGGGTATTAGTAGTGCAAGCAAAATAATTTGGTCAAAGAGTACTCACTGAATTATTTTGAAGCTCTGAAAGCTGGCAATCGTCAACCGTGGGACAGGATGATGGGGAAAATTTGGACGATGATAAGTGATGTTTAATAGAAATCTCTCTATCAAATTTTAAAACATTTTCCCAGTTTGCAAATGCAGTTTCCACTAACTTGTGGGCAGACGCCTGTAATAAGTCCAAGATCAAAAGGAGGATTTAGAATATGGCTAAATACATGACAATCAATGAATAGTAGATACAGACCTTTTGAGATTCAGAAAGTATGTTGTAATGGTTTAAACCACAGCCTGAGTCCATCCATGTCACCTGGCCAGCAACATTAAACACCACTGCAAATCTTTGTTCGGTCTCCGGATGACAATACAAGTATTTTCTTCCATCAAGATTGCATGTCTTTGCATGCATTGTAGTGGTTTTCCACCAATCACCAGACATGCTTTTGCCAAGGATCTGCAGGTATTAAAACTCATTTGTATGAGTACTTCTTACTGAAATGGAAAAAAATTACAACATGCAGTTATATAATGCTAAGGTGCATTGTCCCAGCGTTTAGGGACGAATGGTAAACCATTAATTAGGACACTAGTTATTTCTATAATATGACTTTTTACATGAGAGTTTGATAATAAGCTGTTACGTAATCCCTTTAAAGCCATATTTTTCCAGCTTTTGGATATGTTTATGATTTGCACAGTGCGATGATTCAAAGTAATGAATAAAGAAAAGACTAAAGAGGTCACCAATCTAGGTGCTCGCAGCAGGAAGCTTTTTGTAAAAGTGGCGAGGATTGAGGACATGGAAATCCTTGAAGATATTCAACTGGAACAAGCCATCACAACATCTTCAAATGCAAAACATGGCGAGCCACTGGTTTTGTAGCCCGGCCCCCATTACACCTCAACCCCCATTCTTTTTTTGAGAAGTAAAAAGAAAACAAATTGCAAGAGTAAATAGAAAAAAAATAATGCTCACTCTTTAATTTGTATCTGCTAGTCAGGACTCAGGATTTAGGAGAGAGATTTGCATTTGCATTAAATTACTTTAGAAAAAATTGCTGTTTAGCAACTAAAATATAAAAATAACCTGTCAGGAAAAGGAGTCTAATATATTTGCATGTTGATTTACTGTCATGAGGCAGGACCTGGACGAATCCGATCAGTAAATAAGCTTAATTATGCAGATTCAAGATGCAGGAAATGTACGTGCGCATGCAGTAACAGCCCTTTCATAACCGCAAAATATCACTAGTTATTAAAGATGTAAGTATAAATTTTGTGAAGTAGTAAAAGTTCTTAATTAGAAGAAAATTTCTTACATGCTGTAGCCTCTGAGGATTGTTGTAGAGTTCAATTAGGAAATCCTCCACTGTCCTGATACCATTTTCAGTCAACCGCTTATGGAAAGGACCATTCCGTTGAATCTGTTCTAGTCTCCATATATCATCAGTTGGTGATGGAGGGTACCGCTTCTTGCTTTCTGAAACATGATATTTCCAGTTCAAACTTTAAAACTTCACCATATTTCTATAAGAGGTATAGGAATTAAGTAAAAGTAATTCTCACTTAAGCGTTTATCCTTAACAGTGAAGTGTCCTGTCACGGCCTCTGTCACTTTAATTTCTTCAGGTAAATCTATAACCTTCGCTCCTAGCCTTACCGCCTCCAACTTCCTCATATGTTTTGGAGTGTGTTTGAATCTAATTTCATCAACAGAACCAACGCCTTCTTGCAACCTCAGATATGGATTTTTATGGCGCATTGATTTTCCACCTCTTTTTTGCGTCATGATAATATAACTGTTTAGCTCTTCGGTTGTCGAATTTTCACCATCACCATCAGAGTTACCATTAAGTAGAAAAATTTCAACTTGTGCTGAGGCTAGAGGTCCATGTATCACAGGGAGTCCTGTAACAACATCAATCAATTCCAATTTGGTTTCTTTGGGAAAGATACACTCTCCAGTAAATATCAGTGGAGCAATCTCGTGTGAGAACCTTAAAAGTAGACATCTTCTTTCAGAAGGATGGATTTTCTTCTGGGAATTCCTGTTTTTTTATATATAAAATGCTGAAATAGATTAACCTCACATATATACAACGTGAAATTGCAAAGGTAATGTAATTTTGAAGCCAATAACAAGAAGCACAATATGTTCATCCATGTAATAGTTTTCTGCCGTGATGCATCGGCATAATTTTGGCATTAATATCAAATTATCACATTGTTTAAATATATATATATATATATAGACGCAGTGGTGCTGTGGTAAGTATGATTTTTCACCTGTATCGAGCAGTCAAAATTATTTCCAAGTCACAGTGAAATTCATCCTCCACCTGGATAGATAAAATGTTGATTAAATAGTTAGGTAATGATATGAAGTGACAGGTAGGGGTTTCAATGGTTCGGACGGTTATTTTATAAAATTTGTACCATACTAATTTTTCGATTATTCTATTATGTATAACCAAAATTAGACTTTTCGAAACCATCCCAATCATATCGGTTTCTCTTCGGTATCGGTACGGTTCGATTAATTTTCGATATTTTTTTAATATCACGTAAAATTCACTAATAGAAGTAGAATGCAATAACAAGTGATGAATTAAAAAAAAAAATGGCTAGAGTATAGATCCATCAACTATTCTACAACAACGCAAAAGAAATCAAACTAAGGCAAAGAAAATATAAATCACACGAGTTGAAAGATATACCAAGATGAGACTCAAGAATAGAGTCTATAGAAGATTAAATATTCAAAAAAATAAATCTAAATTATATGAAAGGAAACATATTCAATACATTGTAGTTTGCTACTCATAATCGCTAGAATACTTTGTGTCTTGCTAATAAAGATACTTGAAATAACTTAGTTTAAGTAGAAGTAGCATAATAGGTTTTAGGAATTAGTATTTTGAGTTTAATTACTTGTGGGCTTATACTCCCTCCGTTTCAATTTATGTGAACTCATTTAACTGAGCACGAAGTTTAAGAAAAGAGAGAAGACTTTTGAACTTGTGGTGTAAAATGAAGCACATATATTTTATGTGGCTATAAATTATTGCATAAAGGGAAAATTATTCCCAAATAAGGAAGGGGTCATTCTTTTTGGCACGGACCAAAAAGGAAATAGATTCACATAAATTGAAACGGAGAGAGTAATAGTTTTCATAATTCCAAGGCCCAAAGAAAATTTAATGCATTATTATTTTTAAACTTACTAAACAAATATATTTTCCACATGTAAAATTTATTCGGTGCGGTTCGATATTTTTTCGGTTTATTTTTATAAAATAAAAAACCTACCTTAATTATCGGTGTGGTTATAGATTTACATAAAAACCTATGGTTTCTTAAAAAGAAACCTAAAAATCGGTTCGGTGCGGTACGGTTCGGTCGGCAGAGGCGGATCCACTGTGAAGGTTACGGGTTCAATTGAACCCACAACTTTCAACGTGGAGTAAAAATTTATGTGTAAAAATTCATTAAAATTGCAATAAATATTAGATTTGAACCCATAACTTTAAATATATAATGGGTTCAATGTTAAAAATCTTAAAAATTGAACCCATAGAATTTAAATCCTGAATCCGCCTCTGTCGGTCGATTTAGTCGGTTTTCAAATATCCATTGACACCCCCCCAGTGACAGGTATATATTCAAAGACTAGAAGATTACAAAATTCAACTTGGTCAAAAATGTTTGATGCTCAATTGGCAAGTGGATTCTGTGCCTGGACACGAAACCTAAGACAAAATTAAAATTCGATCTTAAAAGAGTAAAATATAACCTTTAAGGACAACCTGCAGCTAGAAGAAATCTCCTGATATACACTTGATGCATGTTTAGCCAGCATTAAAAACAGTGACTTTGTTTTGCCTGGACGGCGAAATTGTGGTATCTTCATAGAAGAGATATCCACTAAAAGCTTACAGGAAGCATTTCATAGAAGTAAATTCTTGTACTTCTAAACCTCATTGTCATCATTTACACTGTGGATATATATATATATATATATATGAAAATCTATTTGACTGGACCCAAATTATTACTTTTAAAACTTATAATTCTAAATAAGCCATAATATTTGTGTATTACTATTCATTTGAAACTTGTGTTCTAAGATATACCACAATATTTGCGTGACTATAAAAGATTCATATTAGGGATCAATAGAATCGAAAGTTTAAGTTAAATTAGGTTCCTTCTGAAATGCATTAAAAAGAAAATAGAAAAGGATATTTTTAGAAAGGGATGGTCCAACGGCGTCAGTCTATCTCAGTGTTTAGCTTTGTTAGTCAGATTCTGTAGCCAGAGACTTTGCATTCAGTGTGTGATGTTTTTTTTCTTTCTTTCATTTTTTGCGAATTCAGTCAGTGACCAAATATCCTTTATGTGGAAAGTGTCCCTTCTTTTCCTGTTTTTTTTACATATAATGTCCTTTGCTTCACAAAGAAAAAGATTACTTCCTATATATCCTATTCCTTTCATTACAAATCTGCCGGAAAAGATTTCTTTTCAACCGCATATCAAAATATCTTTGTCAATTAATTCACATGCGCGCACCAACCATAAAATTCCCCATATATATATATATATATATATATATATATATATATATATATAATAAGTCAAAAGGAACAAAGAGGGGGCATACACCTGACCTCTTCCGATCATAACTAGATTGGACAACCCATTCTTACAATTTGAGTCAGCACAAAAATAAAAGCAGAAAGAGGAGGGTTTCTCCTAGTACAGATTGAGCACCCAAAAATAAGGACTAAGTACTAGACTTAGTGCAACCAGTAAATTATTCAGCCAGATGAACGTGCTTTTGACTTATAGCCAGGATAAAATGCCATAAATAGTTGCACTAAAACTCAGCAAACTCGTAGATCTGCGCACTATCGTTCACCTCATGTGCTAAGAGTTGGTATTAATTTTTGTCCGCGCAAAACTATCACTGTTTTCAAGTGAATGAGGCCTTTCAAATTGTGTAAAACATCCACCATTTCACCCTCCCTTATAATTAAAAAAACAAATGAAAAAAGAAGAAGATCAAATTAAATCATCATTTTGAAAGGTCATGTTTAGACTGGTGACACTTTCATTTTCTCCACTAATTGGTTCTCGAATCTTAAATCTTACTAAGAGCAAATTGGAATTGATCCACAACTCCGGGTAAAACATATCAAATCTTAGGTTAAAAAACAACTAAAAACTAATTGGCCAACGATCTACGGAAACGTTAGGTTATAAAAGCGCAAGTATATAATTAATTAATTGCAACCAATTAAATAGAACCATAAAGCTGAAGCCCAATAAAGGATTATCCTAAGCAAATGAACATGGACCCAGATTTTTCCGACATAAATACACCAAATTTAAGTGGTGAAAGAAAAACAAAACCACACCAAAGCAAGTATAAATAATACTGTGAAGCCCAAAGTAACAAGCTGTGCAACCAAAAAGAAAGAAAATACGTAGTTACAAATTAAGGAGCGTTGCTGAGAATTAATAGCAAATTGAACTCACCGGAAACGGAAACGGAAACAAAGCCAGTAGAAAGGCGACCACAATCCGCCGGAGCTTACAGAGCGAGACGACGTCCCTTATTGCCCTGAAAAGAGAGGAAAACCAATAAAAGAGCAGAAATGACTCAAGTCAACGTCAACGCTAATGCCATATTCAATACTCTCAAAGCAGAAGCATCACATGCCAACTGGTGGCCACATATGACAAATTTAATAATGGTAAAAGGTGGCTAACGTACGAGCAATCAGTAACACTACACTAATGGAATCTGAAAACGATTTAGGCTTTTAGCACAAACATGACATGAGCTAACCAAATTAAGTAACAAATCACTTCATTAATTATTTCTTTGGATTTGATAATGATATTTACGTAAATATATCCAGCACTAAGTAACTAAATAACCTGTGTGCATGTCCATTTATATTACTGTGGAAGAAGTTTTGAACTGGTTAATTTAATTACCTGGTAAAAGGAGGACTAGAGTTTCTTGTTTCAGTATCTGAGTTCTTGTGTCCTTCTCCACCATTACCATCTTGATCTTCGAACAGTAACATTTGTTCCATCAAATATTTGCCACCAACAAAACGAATGCTATAGTCTATGCGAGAGAATGCGTGCAGCCCACCTTAGTAATGATTCTGTTATATATAGATGGTTTTAGAGAAAAAGGGTAACGTGCCTCTTTCCTAGCTAGCTTAGTGAAAGACGCGTATGGACGGCTCAGTTATCCTCCGTTAGCGTTAAGTTGTAACTCGTAACTCGTAACTCGTAATAGTAGGAAGCTCAGTGGCAAAATGTTTATTTTCTTTCTGAATAGAAACAATTACGGGGAAGTCCTTTGGGGTATTTCCCAATCAATTTTTAACTTATACTAATATTTTTTCTTACCTAATTTAGTTTTGTATATAATTTGAAACTACTTTTCACCTATTAATATAGTATAGTATAAAGAAGATCTGTGTTAGAAAGTGATAATCATGCTTATCATCAGAAACAAGGTCAAAGTTCAAGTAGCCGATACTACTAGAATTCGGCCAAAAAGCGATCAAATATTGGCGACCAAATTTGGTCTGTTAAGAAAAGCGATCAAAGTTGGTCGTCAAACTACCGAAAATAATAAAAAAAATATTTGAAATAATTTAGCGACCATAGTTGGTCGCTATTTAGACGCAAATTTAGTCAAACTGTTGACTGGACTGATCAGACATGCTTGGTCAAAGATACACTGAGTTTAGCGACCAATGTTGGTCGCAAAAGTAGGACCCACAAAAATANATATAATTTAAACTTGCGACCAAAGTTGGTCGCTAACTGAAGGATAAGAAGATAGCGACCAACTTTGGTCGCTAAAGTGGGACCCAATTATAATATTTTAATAAATATATATTTATGTAAATTTTTTATAAAATATAAATAAATATAATTCAAAATTTAACGACCAAAGTTGGTCGCCAATGTGGGACCCAGTTCTAACGTTTAACAATTTTTATTATTAATTTAAATATTATATAAAATATAAATAAATCTGATTAAATTTTAGTGACCAAATTTGGTCTCTAATTTAAATTCATGTACATTTAGTGACCAACTTTGGTCGCTAAATTAAATTCATTTAAAGTTAGCGACCAAAGTTGGTCTCTATATGGTCAAATTTAAAAATCACTTTTGTGTTTACTATGTAAATAATATAAATGTAAGTCGTTAATAATTTTGTAATACAAGGGATGAATAGTACTACGAAGCGGGCGTGTGTGTCTATATATACAATATATGTACTTACGCTATACTATGCACTAAGTATAAGTGTATGAGGTAATACCGTATCGAATACAGCTTATATATAATATATATATACTTACANATCGAATACAACTTATATATATATATAATATATATACTTACGCTATACTATGCAGTATGTATAAGTGTATGAGGTAATACCGTATCGAATACAACTTATATATATATATAATATATATACTTACGCTATACTATGCAGTATGTATAAGTGTATGAGGTAATACCGTATCGAATACAACTTATATATATATATAATATATATACT